ATTTCCTTTCTTAATTTTCTGGCTAGGATTATTTATTTCTTGTGTTTTGTTGGATATGGTTAACCTTTTTAAGTTGGAATTTTTCTTCTAGATCCTTCTTTATGGCTAGATTTGTAGATATTGTTTAAGTTTGGTTTTATCGTGGAATGTCTTGTGTTCTCCTTCTATGGTGATTGACAGCTTTGTTGGATACAGTAGTCTGGGCTGGTATTTGTGGTCTCTTAGAATATCTGTCTATGCCCTTCTGGCTTAGAATCTCCATTGAAAAGTCAGGTGTTATTCTAATAGGTCTTCCTTTATATGCTACTTGTTCTTTTTCTCTTGTAGCTTTTAATATTCTTTCTTTGTTTCAAATGTTTAATGTTTTGACTATTATATGATAGTGGGGGGCTTTCTTTTCTGGTTCAGTCTACTTGGCGTTTGGCATGCTTCTTGTATATTATAGGCATCTCAGTCTTTTGATTAGGGAAATTTTCTTCTATGATTTTGATGAAAATATTTTCTGGGCTTTGAGTTGGATTTCTGTTCCTTTCTCTATTCCTATTATTCTTAGATATAGTCTTTTCACAGTGTTCCTGATTTTCCAGATGCTTTGTGCTAGGATGTTTTTCAGATTTAACATTTTCTCCAATCATTCTTTTATTATGTCTTCAAAGACTAAGATTCTCTCTTCCATATTTTGTTTTCTGTTTGTGAAGCTTTCCTCTGAGGTTCCTGTTAAAGTTCCTAAATTTTTCATCTCTAGATTTTTGTTAAAAAATTTTTGATCTTCAGATCAAAACAGAAACATTTTGGGTTTCCTTTATTATTTTTATTTCCTCTTTCAGACCATGAACTGTTTTGTTCATTCCCTTCAACTGTTTGTGTTTTCATAGACTTCTTTAAGGGATTTATTCTTTTCCTCTTTAAGGACCTCTTTCCTATCCATAAAAGCTATTTTAAGGTCTCTCTCTCTCTCTCTCTTTTAAGGTCTTTGTCTTGTGCTTCAGCTGTGTTGCAAAACTCAAGGCCTACTGTGGGAAGGTTGCTGGGCGCTAGTGGAGGAATATTCTCCTGGTTGTTACCGATTGTGTTTTTACACTGGTGTCTAGTCTCTGGATTTCAGAAGATTGAAATTCTAGGGGCTAATATCTAGTCTTGTGGTGGTTGTTGTGTGTTGCATAGTTGGATATTTTTCTGGGATCCTACTAGGTTTGGCCACTGGGGGTTCTGAGTGAAATGTGTTTCTAGTTATTTGGAGCTGACACTAAGGAAAAGGGATGGTTGGGAGGTAGGGTGGTGGGGTCCACAGGAGGGAATAGAGCAGAGTCTGAGTAGTCCCCCGAGAATAGAAGCAGAGAGTGAGTAGGGTCACAACAGGTAGTCTACTTCGGAGTTGTGGATGAGATACTAGGGGATTGGGTTTGGAGGAAAGGAGAAAGAGTTAAGTCTACCTGTGGGTTCCCACGGAGGGCCTGGTGGAGTTGGGGCCCAGGATAAAGCAAAGAGTGTTGGAGAGAGAAGATTTGAGGAAGGGTCTAAGTGATCTGTTGGAGATGGGGACAGGGAGGAAGGGGGAAGTCTCTGTAGGTGTTCTGCCACAGAGCTGAGGATGAGACTGGAGGGGGGAACTGAATTTGGGGGAAAAGAGAGGAGTAGTGAAGATCTGTGGTTAGCCTTCCTCCCTGCTTCCCTGGATGGACTGGCCTGTAGGTTCCCAGGGAATGACTGTGAGCAGTTTTTAAACTTCTGAACTAAAGATTTGGTGTAAAAGGTTTAATGATCTAACAGGAACTCTCCAGATTCTAGAGCTAAACTCCCTTTCCTGACAAGCTGCAATCAAAATTCAAAACTGGGGCAGAGTCTGCATGACAAGCTTTGTTTCTATGATGCTTTAGTCCCTTCCCAGAGCTGGATATTGAAAAGTCAGGCGACATGTGTGTGCACACTGACAGCCATATTCAGAGAGGGCTCAGCAGGCCTTTGTCCGGGGCCATGTGCCTCACTAGGTGAGTCTGAAATTCTAGTGCCTCTGTGATTGCAGGGTTGGCGGTGAGGTGTGCTTTAGTTCTCTGTTAGATAGACCGCTGGTGACATTCAGAGAAGGGGTAGCCAGCTCTCCTAGCGGTGGCAGGAAGGCAGACCACAGCAGGGAAGACCGCAAAGACCGCAATGACTGGGGATAAAAAATAGCAGCTTTAGCTAATGGAGGCAAATAATAACTGTCATTTGAAGACAGCATGGTGTGGCCTTCAGCCTTTTGTTTCTTCCTTGGTCTTGAAATGGTCCTTTCTACGGAGCTTCCTGGATGTGCCTGTGCAACCACAGTGGTATCGTTGCTGTGTAAGATTGGCCTTTAGCCTGCCCATCACAGTCTTTGTTCCCAAAGCATTTTGCAAAGGAATGAAAGAAAAAGGATGAAAAGCACTTAAAGGGAGAGTAACCACTCTCTGATCTCTCTCTCTGTCTCTCTCTCTCTCTCTCTCTCTCTCTCTCTCTCTCTCTCTGTTATTCAACTTCCTTTCCAGTGGTATCAGACCGGCAGCATTATTATTGTCAGAAGCAGAAAGCAAGCAGAGAATTAATAGGAACTGCATGTTTATTTTAGAGCAGAAACCTGGGAGTCAGATGACTTCAGAGTGCTGTCCCTACGTCTCTGCAGTTCCCAGAAACAAGGAAACGCACTGAAGTCTGGAAACTCAGTTAGGCTCCGAATTTTGAGTGTGACTCAAAGGCAGCATTTCTTGTGGAAGATCGGGAACTAGCACTAGGGTAGTGTGACATTCATACTGGCTTTCAAGTGACAAGTTGTAGAACCACTCCAGCCTACGAGGGAGTGTTTAAATTCCATTAATTGGGGTAGGAATAACCATTGTATATGCGTGTGGGACTGCTCTATGGACTAGGGTACTGGACTGAATAAAAAGAAGAAAAATGAAATGAGAACTGGCATTGCTTGCTCTCTGCTTTTTGACAGTGGATTCAATGTGACCAACCAGGCTTCTTGTGTCCCTGCTGCTGGGTCCCTTCGATAACCATTGACTCTGTCTTTTAGAACTGTAAGCCATTGCAAACCCTCCCTTCCTTCCTTAAGTGGCTTTTTGTCCGGTATTGTTATGGGAGCCCACCACAGATGACCACTTCGACACAATTTATCGCCACTGGAAAGTCTTTATTCCAGCTGGCTGTGACAACACCTAGGTGTTCAGGGATCGAGGTGTGACCCGGAGTATCCAGAACATGGGGTTTATGAAGGCAGAAACCACGACCTTGCATCTTGCCCAGCAACTTGTAGGATGTGGGGGGGGGTGCTTTGTAAATACCAAGTCCTAGGGTTTGAAATAGTGCCCCTAGTTCAGGTCTCTGACTTTTCTTTTGTGACAAGTGACATTGCCACAGGTTTTAACTTCTCACCTCAGGGCGCTGGACTGGGAATTCTACACATTTTCACACAGAGACCTTTCCTTCCTTCTTGGAGATTGTGGCAGCTGCCAAGATGGAGTGTCTCCTTACTTTGTCTCCAGTTTGGGGGTGTGAGCAATGGTGCTTGGCTGGCATTTCTAAAACTGAGGGGAAAGGATGCTGAACTCGCCTCCTCTGATCTCGCCAGTGAATGTTTTCAGAGCAAACAGGAGGAGCCGTAATAAATATTTCAAGGCTGGAAAGCATGTTTCACAGCACCACGGCCTTACAAATGTTCACATGCCACAGCCAACATTCTGTGGGAGTGCATTAAAGTGATTCATAAGAATGGGAAGTTCATCCTCATCAGCCTGGCTGGACAGATTACCAGCGGACACGCTATTACACCCAGTCTTCATGCTTTCAGCATTAGAGCTGGCATTTATTTCTAATATGTCATGGTGAAATAGGTGGGAGAGTTTACCTGTGCTACAAGATAGAAACATCTTTACAGAAGAACAGACACCATTTTCTGTGTGCTTATAATAAATAAACCACCCAGGAAAGGAGTAGTCGCCTAAAAAGCTTGAGAAAGTTTGCCCTGAGGAATCAGCATGGCTTGATAACAAGTCATTACTGGGATGTCCTTTTCTGTTAGACTGCTTGTAGCTAGTGCTCAAGGAATGCAGTAAGATCATGACATTCGTAACTGTCAATGCTAGGGATTAGCAGTCCAGATTTTAGTATGTGTGAGAAAAGCGTGTGTCGGGGGATTATTATGTTTCTGACCGTGTAGCAACTACTATCCATGCAAGCGTCTGCATGCACATGTGTGTGTGTGTATGGACATGTGTGTTAACTCTTCTTTGTCTTGATATCTCCTCTTAGAAACCTGTGATTCATGGTTCTGTTCCTAATCTTGCTTGGCATTTGGTTTAGAATCCCTGATACCTGGTTGGGTCCCTTTGCGGTTTCCTGTATTCCAAACAGGCTTGTTAGAGAGGTTGAATGAGGGGAAGGAACACTGAAGCTTGAACATGTCCAGAAATTGTAAAGCTTTGAGCAATAGAGCTTCTTCTGTGCTACTAAGGGGACTGTATGACCTAGTGCTTTCCCTAGCCATCATATACAACTGATCTCCTTCAGGTCTACATGTAGTTATGGGTGAAGATCAAGGCATGACATTTTTAATAGTTACAAGCTAGATTTCCCCATTGCATATGACTAATGAATTCTGCACCATAGGATATGGTAGAGTTGAAAAGACTCACTTACACATATAGATGTTGATTTGAAACCATTTCTAAGATGTAATATCAAGTGACAATGGCAAGTCATAAAGCAATGCTTATTGTTGGTTGATTGTTATGTACAAAAGCAAATAAACACTCCATTGTTATGTATTGAATAGATACAGAAAAAAATTTTTTTTAAATGTGCCTTAGGCATGAAACAGCTTTGGCCACCAAGCCAGGCATCAAGCTCAGGTGAACAAAGGACTGCCATCTGCTCTGCTTCTGACTGACAGAAGAACACCACCACAACAAGGTGTCTCTTTGCCCATTGCCAGGGGTTTAGAAGAGTTCTTTAAGGAAGCCGTATCTCTGCTCTAGGTGTGCCATAAGAGAATAACACAGGCTGTGGAGTTTAAGTAGTGGAAATGGATTGTGTGTGTGTGTGTGTGTGTGTGTGTGTGTGTGTGTGTGTGTGTGTGTGTGTGGTTTTCCAGGCTAGAGGTCCAAGTTCAAGGTATCAGAAGGGTCAGTTTCATTCTGATGCTTCTCTTCTCTTCATGCTGTTCAGAGGGCTGCTTTCTTAAAACTTTTTGAGATTATAATTATAATTTGAGATTATAATGATATCATTCCCTCTTCCCTTTCCTTTCTCCAAAACTTTCCCATATATATCTCCTTACTCTCTTTCAAATTTGTGGTCAGATGGCCACTGTTTAACCGTGACCTGGTGTGGTCTTGCTTCTGTGTACACATCCCTGCTGTCTCTATGTATCCTAATCGCTTCTCAAAGGGGAGCTGTCATATTAGGTTAGGGCTTATTCAGATGGCTTCATTTGAACTTAACTGCCCCTCTTTAGAGACCCTGTGTTCAAATATAATCACTGTTATGAAACCAACACAGGAATTCTGAGTGAGGATGCAATTCAGTCTAAAGAGAAGCCCACATACCATTTTTAGAAGTTATCTAGGGGAGGGAAATGTGAGCCTTGGAGTAATAGGGGTATATTTTTCCCTGTACAACTCTGACAAGTGTCTGAATAGATCTCTTTGCTAAATTCTTCTTAATCACAAGTGATTTAAAAATAACATGATTTCCAGATCTTTCTATGGTCTTTTCCCACTTTCTGCACTGTGACTAGCAGCGTGCTCTCATTTTATGGAACCATGGGGTCAGTGGTAAATTACACCCATGCCCACTGATGGAATGGCTGTCAAATCATATATGGACCATTTATCACCTTCTCTAGGATCCCTTTTCTTACGTTTCTATTTAGAATGTGGTTATTTAAGACCATATACTTCGTGAGGCTACTTGAAACACGATTCCGTTTCTAACTCCAGGATGCATTCTCATCTTTACCCAGTGGCAATGTGTTTCTTCTCAAGTATAATTAGGTCTCTGTTGGGACACAGATGGCATACTTGTGTGGGAAATTGCCCCTTTTGTTTTGCTAAAGAATAACCTACAAATGGGGGGCAAGAAGTTTCCTACAGTTCCCCCCACTTCTACCTGCTTTCTTGTGGCCAATGGTGTTTTCATTTTATTGGACAATTGCTCTGGACACCTTCACTTCTTTCCACTGGGTTTACTGAGAAATGCTTTCATCCATTACCATCTGCCATGATATGTGGATACTAGTGATACTATGACTTCGGATACATAGACACAAAATGTACATGTGGGCTATAATGTACACATGGGCCCTTACTTTGTGGCCTCTCGTTTGGTGCCCTCTCATTTCCTGAGTATTCCTTTCCATTGGCTTAAGGTCATTGGCCAGAAGCACCTGCCATTCTCTACCGAAGGGATTTCATCTTGGCATGGGACTCACAGCCAGTGGGCAGGACCAGCCAGTACGTTGCCTCGGGGATCCAGATGTAGTTATTGGTGATAGACAAGGAATGTTCAGGACCAACGTCTTAGCTCTTCAGCTGGGATGACGTCAGTGAATGCTCTATGCTAGCCTTGAGATTTCTCTGGTAATAGTGACCTTGGTTGCTCATGCTGGAAATTTCCTTAGGGACCCAGTCATTATTGACTTCCTTCCCTATCTCCCTCTTGCACTTCCTCCCTTGAGAGTTTCCAAGAATCCCTTCAGGATGTTCTGCTTCTGTTCACACAATCGTCACCAAGCCTTCTTTTGGGTTTTTTCCCAAACACAATTTCTACTGCTTTCGGCTGTAATGTGTTTTCCTCAACATAACAAATAAGTGGTGCTAACGGGTCCCCCCGTCTCCTGCTTTGTTCAAATCCCCCCTTTTCATTTTGAAATAAAAACGGTTCCATATCCAGAAAAGAGAAACCCCAGAGATGTGTCTTCGGGGATACACATTAGAAACCCAAACACAGTCACTTTTCTATGTTTTATTTTTTATAATTTCATATGTGTATAGACTGTGTTGTAGGTAATTATATTCATCCCCCAATACCCTCTCACATCCCTTTCCCATTCTTCCTAGCTTCCTTCTTATTCCAACCCATTCATGCTTCTGCCCCATGTCCTTTTCTTTTTATGCAGGTAGGGACAGTTCTGTGTGATTGTGATGGCTGTGCCACATCCAGAAGACAGTGTGTCATGTCCTCTCCTTCCTCTTGCTATTACAATCTTTCTACTTCCTTTCCTGTGATGTTCTCTGCACCTTGGAGAGGGAGAGACAGATGTTCTTTTTAGTGGTCAGCCATCGATCACCCGTTCTCAGCTCTTCTACCAGTTGTGAATCTCTGTATTAACCGTTACATTCTGAAAACAAGATTCTCTCTTCCAGATTAAGAGAAACAGTATTATGTGAGTATAAACATCAGCATTTAGGAGGCAGTTGGGTGTGTGCTCATGTGGAAAAATATCAGTAGTACATAGAGCCCATGACTCCTCAGCCATAGGCTTTGACAAAGTTTCCAATACCAAGTACATATTGTGTATAATGGAGCAGGCCTACAATCCAGTTGGAAAGCAGTTGGTTGGCCCCCAAACATCCTTGCCGATGCTGCACTAGTAGCAATATCTTACTTGGCAGGTCAGAATTATAGCACACAGAATCCACATCTGGGAAAGACCACTGATGCTTCCAACATTAATACGATAAGAAAGACACATGCTGCTCTGGAAGGAGCCAAGCTCTCCACCACTGGGAGGCCCAGCTCCAAGGAGTGTCCCACATAGTTGTTTTTGAACTGACTTGCACCAATGTGAGAGAGATCCTACCCAAAGCTTTTAGTGGTTTAATCCTTAACTGCAATTTTATTCTGCTCTTTGAATCTGGCCTCCAAGTTAATGCTTTTTGAATGCAGCTGTTGTGAACTTCTCTGCCTCTGAAGGGATATTCAGGAAAACAAAAAGAGAAAATCAGTTTTCCAAGTTTATCTTTCCACAGTGATTTATTTCCCTAGGAAAGGCTCAAGCTCAAATGTCATTTCTGGTTCTCATTGCTGCCCCTCATTGTGCTGAAGGTCTCAGCAGAAGGGGGGTGCACAGGGAACTCAGCCCCAAGGTGGCCCAGGTGGTCTGGGTCTTATGCCAGATTCAACTTCTCTAGCCTGCTGTGCTCTGTAACTGCTGGGGGCTGGTATTTGGTGCAGGGATTAAGTCACTGGCTCTGAGAACAGGCTTACAAATGTCACCTCCTCAGGGATCATCTGGCTCATGGTGGGGCATAGAGGGAAATCATCTGGGGCTCTACAGGAGGCTGCCCAAGCAAGTCTGGGAAAGCTCCTGGCTATGTGAGTACCAGCTGTGAGGAAGCAGTTAAGAGTTTGGGCAAGTTTTTAAAACCTCCACCATGGCCACGTCCAACAGTGGCCACACATTTGTCTGCTCCAGTTCTCATCAGATGATCCGGGGGTGGGGGGGTGGGGGGGTGGATTCTTCCAGAGATGATCAGTCAGTAGAGGCTACTTGGGAAGATGAAATTTAACATGGAGCCAGGGCACTCATAGATAAGATCCTGAAGGTGGGTGGCTGGTATGGCTCAGAAGCTGACTGACTCTGTGGATATATAGGTTTGAATGAGAATGTCCCCCAGAGGTTTGGAAGGTGGAACACTTGGTCCTCAGTTGGTGGTATTGTTTCAGGGAGGTTTGGCCTTGTTGAAGAAAGTATGTCACTGGGGTCAGGGTTTGAGACTTTAAACACTGTCATTCCAGTTTGCTCTATTTCCTGCTTGGGGGTCCAGATGTGAGCTCTTGGCTTCCTCCTCCTGCCATCATGCTGGTTGCTGCCATGCCTCCCCACCATCACAGACTCCCATACCTCTGGAATTATAAGCACAAATGAACCCTTTCTTCTTTACTTTGCCTTGACCATGGTGTTTTATCACAGCAACAGAAAAGTAATTAATGCAAAGGGTAAAGGTCTCCCTGTGTTCCTTTGTCTGTGTCTTTAGATATTCAAACCTTTGTATACTGAAAAGTCTTTTAGGCTTTAAGGTAAACTAGACATGGAGGTTCTGCTGGTTGTAAGGACTTCCAAGTACACGAATGTGGCTATTTCCATATGAGGCCGGGATGTGTGGATGAGTTCAAAGAGTGAAGTGCCTTAGCTTTGGGATGTTAAATCCGGATGCTTCACTCCCTTCTTATATCATAACTTTCATGAATGTTTGGGTGTGAATATATCTCTGTTTAAAAAAATGAAAGGTGAGGAATTTCACTGTGATGAAATCAAATTGCTTCTCTTTTTACACTGGTCCCTCTTCCAGTCTTTAGGAGCACAGGAAGAGGAAGGAGAGAATAACATCCTCACTCTGGAGTGCTGGGTACATTCATGCTTATTAATTTGATCTAGAAGCTTACAGACATCCAGTAAAGGGGCTGGAGTGATGGCTCCTTTCTGTAAAGTGCTTGCTGTGTGAACCTGAAGACATGAGTTTCCATCCCCAGCAACCACATAAAAACTAGACTTAGTGGTTTGTGCCTGTAATCCCAGTGTCGGGTAGGCAGAGGCAAGGAGATCATTGAGGCTTGCCTGCCAGTCAAGCCAGGCTAGCCAAATAATAAGATGAAGAGCAATGGAGGAAAGTTACCTACTGTTGACCTCTAGTTTCCATGTGCACACACATGAACATGGGCAGACACACACACACACACACACACACACACACACACACACACACACGTTCACACGTTATAAAAATACAAAATTGGAAACCATATTGAAGAAGCAAAATATCAGTAAGACCAAAAAAAAAAAATGCCCAAACAAAACTATTTGAG